CATCATCATCATCATCATCATCATCATCATCATCATCATCATCATCATCATCAGCATCATCATCATCATCATCATCATCATCATCATCATCATCATCATCATCATCATCATCATCATCATCATCATCATCATCATCATCATCCGTCCTCCTCCTCCTCCTCCTACTCTTCCGCTTCCTCCTTCTCCTCCTCCTCCTCCGCATCCTGCCCGACGCTTTACTGCAAGCGCTTCGGCTGCAAACTTCGGCCAGGCACTTTACTGCAAATGCTGCGGCTAGAAACTTCAGCCCGAAATTCGTGGGGGGAAGTCTGCATGTATTGCTGGGCGGTTCTTCCGTCAGGGGGGGTCCCCGAACATGATGCAACATCGCGTGTGGGGGAGCTGGATGGAGAGGGTGCTAGGTGGGCAGGGGGCATGGATGGAGGATCAACATATGGCGACCGAAGTGAGCAATTGTATTCAACAAGGTCTTCCCGGCAATGTTTCCCAAACCTGTTTCCGACGCGAGGGATCGGCTCTTGTGGCGCAGAGGCAGGGAGCTACGGACTCCAGGAGTTCAAATGTAGCCCTCCGCCTGTCGATTCGGCTGGGATTGGCCACTGCCCCTCCCAGTAGACTATTCTGCTTACGTGATTGGGGCTCGGGACCCTCAACACTTCTTCCGCACCTCGGGATAGATGTCAGGGGCACCGAGGCCGAGAGCTATGGACTCGAGGAGTTCACATGTAACCCTTTGCCAGTCGATTCAGTAAGATCGAATATACCCCGCATCTGACACGTGCCCGCATGTTGGGATGTTGGCCCCTCGTGCGCTGCATCACGCACAGTCCGCGATTCGACAGGACCACCAAGCCCCCAGCATCAGTCAGATGTCTGGGGGGTCGCCACTCTCCCTCTTGAGGAAACACACGCACACACTTTCACGAACGAATCGAGGGTAGGAAGCTGGGTGGCCAGGGAAGGTGAGGAAGAAAAGGGTCGGAACTGAAGGGAGAAATGCAAAAGTTCGGACCACTGACAAGGCAAGTTCGTTGGACCCTTTGGGGGCCCCGTAGGGCCCTGATCCGTAAGGATCACCAACTGGAATGGGGTGGGGAGGGGCTGGAGATCAGCGAACGCGGTAGTGAGTTGGAACATCGCCAGGTGCTCCGCACTGAGCACCTCATCATCGTAGTTATCCGCCATCCCCCGTTTTAGGCCACGAGGTTGGTATCCCCATTCACGAAAAGTACCACACATTGGCTGGTGAAATGAACCACCCCTGCCTAAATGGCAGCCGTGACTATCCTCTCCTCCTCCGCCTCCTCATCCTTCTTATCTCACTCCTCCGCTTTCCCTCGGTTCTTCTGACGTTCGGATCCCCTCTCGTCGCCACGGCTGGACGCGGCTTGGAAAACGGGCCAAGATGGTCCCTGGAAGGGCTGCTGGAGTCGGCTTTGAGCAGACTCTGGTCCCAAACATCTCAGATGCCCCAGGATCGATGTTCGATGTCAGGCGTATGCGATGGCATCGATTTGCTTGACGCCTGTGGAAGCGGGGAGCGAGGAGGGGGCAGAAAAAGGAGAGATGGGACGGAGGGGGAGGGGGAATGGGAGGGAAAGGGTGGCGGGGACAAGGTGCAGGAGGAAAGCGGAGAGGGAGGGGCGGGGAAGGGAGGCGAAGGGAATGAAGGGGACGGGAGGTGGTGAGGGGATGGGACGACAGGAGGATGACGGTGAGGGACAGGGGGACGGGGACGGGGCGGAGGCGGGGATGGCTCCTTTCCCTCGTCGAATCCCTCCCCCGCGCTCACGCGCGCGCGGTGTGCGCACGACGGCAATTTCCTGCCCTCTGCCGAAACGAAGCAGAAGAGAAGTAGGAGAACGACCACCGACGACGACGACGACGACGACGACGACGACGACGACGACGACGACGACAGTGACGACGATGACGACGATAGCGGCGGCGGCGGCAGCAAAGGCAGAGGCGGCGACGGCGACAGCGGCGACGGCAACGGCGGCGGCGACGACCCCACCTGGCCTTGGTGCAACTGCGCAGCACCAGCAACGCCACCCACAGCACCTCCTCCACCGCCTCGCGGAGCCGGCCTGGGAGCGCATCGGCCTCCTGGCGTCGGCGTCGCCCAGGGCGCGCTCTTTCAGCGTCGGCGTCGCCGTCGCCGCCTTTGTCCTGGATCGTCGTATTCTCCTCCTCCTCCTCCTCCTCATCATCATCCGCCTCCTGCTCCACCATCCGCCTTCTGTTCCCCCCTGCGCTCCTCCTCAATCCCCCCCTTACCCATGCCTCTTCCTCACCCATCTGCCTCCTCCTTCTCCTCTTCCTCCTCATCAGCTGCAGCAGCGTCCTCCTTCTCCTCCTCCTTCTTCTCCTCTCCTGTCCCTCTTTCCTCCGCATGATGCTCCAGCTCCTCCGATTCATGAACATGCCTGATCCTGATCCTGATCCTGATCCTGATCCTGATCCTGATCCTGATCCTCCTCCTCCTCCTGCTCCTGCTCCTCCTTTGCTTCCTGCTCCAGCTCCTCCCGTTTCACTTTATGCTCCTCCTCCCCCTTCTCTTCGTCCTCCTCTTCCTCCTCCTACTCCCCAATCTCCTCCTCCCCAATCTTCTCCTCCTCCTCCTCCTCCTCCTCCTCCTACTCCTCCTCCTCCTTCTACGTGATCCTCCTGTCCCCATCGTCGTCCTCCTCCTACTACTACGTGCTTCTCCCAAATATCATCCTCCTTCTCTTCCTGCTCCTCATCATCATCATCATCATCATCATCATCATCCTCATCATCATCCTCATCCTCATCCTCATCCTCATCCTCAGCATCATCATCATCATCATCATCATCATCATCATCCTCATCATCCTCATCATCCTCATCATCCTCATCATCATCACCATCACCCATCCCCTCCTCATATCATCAACCTCATCATCCTCCTCATCATCGGCATCATCAGTAGTAGTAGTAGTAGTAGTAGTAGAAATGGTATCATCAGCATCATCAGCATCATGATCATAATCATCATCAGCATAATCAGCATCGTCATCATCAGTTGCATCATCATCATCACCATCACCATCATCATCATCATCAGCATCATCATCATCATCATCATCAGAATCAGCATCATCACCATCATCATCATACTCAGCATCATCAGTATCATCATCATCAGCATCATCATCGTCATCGTCATTGCCATCATCATCGTCATCATCACCACCATCATCATCATCATCATCATCATCAGCAGCATCATCATCAACAGCATCTTCATTACCCTCATCCTCATCCTCATCCCCATCATCGATCATTATCATCATCAGCCTCATCATCGTCACTGTCATCATCATCATCACCACCACCACCACCAACGTCATCAGCACCACCACCACCACCATCATCATCATCATCATCATCATCATCATCATCATCATCATCATCATCATCATCATCATCGCCATTGTCATCATCATCACCACCAACATCATCATCAGCATCATCATCAGCTGCATCAGCATCCTCATCATCATCCCCATCATCGATCCATATCATCATCACCAGCAGCATCGTCATCGTCGTCGTACTCCTCGTCGCCGTCGTCGTCATCACTACCATCAACAACAGTATCACAGTCATCATCAATGCCGTCGTGTATTACCATGAACAACGGCCACTCGTCGTCCGCATCGTCATCGACATCATCATATGCATCGTCATCATCAGCAGCAGCATAATCACAACCATCAAGATCGACGACATCATCGACATCGCCACCAGCATCGCGACCATCATCAGCAGCAGCATCGTCATCGTCCACATCATCGGCAGCAATAACATCATCGTCGCCATCATGATGTCAATCAACCTCATCATCACCATCATCACCATCATCATCAGCAGCAGCATGACCATCGTAATCACCACCACCATTACGATCCGCTGGCTCCGCCCCTGCGTCTTCCTCGACTTGCACCTGAACCCTCCGCACACTCCTCGGCTCCTCTCCTGCCTCCCAGTGCCCTCGACTCGTTCCCGCCACCTCGTGAGGCGGCGTTGCTGCGCTATCTGAACCATAATCATCGTATTCCTCTTCCCTGCCCTTATCCTCAATATTATTCTCGTCGTTCTCATTTCCCTTCCCCTCCCCCTTTTCTTCCTCTTCGGCATGATCGTCACCACCGTCATCAGATTCTTCCTTCTCTGGGCCCCAGGAAGCTCCAAGAAGCTTACCAGAGGCGACGAGATGAGCCCCAAGACCAAATGGAGAGACCCCAGATGGGAAAGACCGACGAAAACAAAACATTCGTACATGTGTTTCGATGTTTAAAGTTTTCGGCCCAAGATGGCTTCAGGACGGCTCCTCGACCCCGAGAGGGCCCAAAGCAAAACAAAAAAAGCGGCCCTAGATGGCCCCGAAAAGGTCCCAAGCTGGCTCGGGAGAGCAACGGAGGGGCCCCAGACGACTCACAACAGCCACAACCAGTCCGAGCGGCCCCAAGAGGCGAAAAGGAGGAAGTGAGACCTCAAGGGAGGCCCCAAGGAGGCCCCACAGAGCCAGCAGCCAGTAGCGGTTAACAACCGCAAGGCGCAGGGAAGAAGGGGTAAGCGAGAGAGAAACGGAGAGAATGAGGGGATTGAGGGAGAGAGCGGGACGGAGGCAGACAAGAAGAGAAAGGCAAGGTGGGCGTGGGGAGGAGAGAGGGTGTGGAGGAGAAAGCTGGGCAAGAAATATGAGGAAGACTTCTCTTTCCGGAAGACAGTCCACAAACGATCGGAACGGATGGATCGGCGCGTGTGGCTTAAGCCTATTGAATCAATCGAGGTGCAATCGACCGCACACGTCACTGCCACCAGACAAACTACTCTATAAGCAGGCGGCGAAGGCGCTCTGATACCAGATTGCCCAAGCGCCAGTCCTACGTGCCCGCTGACAGGGCAGTGTATGCCAGCTGAGGGTCCTTACGCACAAGCGCTTGTCAGAACGAGCGGCGTGGGTAAGGTCCGAAGTGCAAGGAATGCGGCGACAACTCGACAGCGGCGCGGGCGAGGCGGTCCGAAGCTGACCCGTCTCTTCCCGCATGACTACAGATCGGCCGGCCCCCGCCCTGCCGGGGAGGACAAGGCGTGTGAGATGTCTGGGTGACCCCCGACCGTCTCCCGTCTCGCGGGGGAGCGGCCTGAGCTCTTCTACGCAGCTTCCTGACCAGAAGAAGGCTCGAAAACAGCTCCAGTGGCCACTAAGACAGCTCAAACCATCGGCTTTGAGGCGGCCCCACGAGGCGCTAGGATGGCTCGGAGGTGGCTCCAAGACGACTGCATGGAGGGCCCGCAAAGTGCCAAAATCGGCGAACCCGGACTGACTGTTGAATGCTTCCCACATGTCCCAGTTTCTAGCTCAAGAGGGCCGCAGGATGGCTCTTCCAGAGGCCTCCAGGAAACCCTGAGACAGCCTCAAGAGATACAAAGACCGCAAAGGATGCCCCCCCTCCCCCATCCTACCTGCGGCAATGGCCGTGGCAAACTAGCCCATCACCCTAGATGGCCGGCTCCATCAAACCCGAACCCGGAAAATGTTGACGCCTCGCTCCTTACTTCCATACACAGCAGCACTGCGCCCAACTACCTTCGGGACGGACGCTTCTGGAGGAGGACCTCCCCATCCTCCCTTCTCCCCATCCTGCGGCAGTGGCCGTGGCAAACTAGCCCATCACCCTAGATGGACGACTCCATCAAGCCCGAACCCGAAAAATGTTGACGCCTCGCTCCTGACAGTAGGGGCCCGACCACAAGAAGCCTTCCACAAGAAACCCAAACCTGAAATCTCAGGACGTCCACTGATTCTGGTGTGGGAGCGTCACGCCCTCCACTGCAAAACCGTCGAAACCCAAGAAACCCAGAACACCCTGGAAACACTTTTTTTGGTCGGCGGGGCGAGAGCGAACCTCTTCCGCTAAAAGCTAGGCGGGCTACGCACAGCTTTAATTAGGGAGACAGGGCACAGGCAGGCGGGGAACACCCTGGAGACACGCAGGGTGCTTCTTGGTACGGGCCTCCACTGTACTTCCGCCGCCCTCCGCCGAGCTCCCGCCGGCTGAACCGCCGCCGCTCGACTGCCGCCCGCTCCCGCCGGCCCGCCGCCGAGGCACGAGTGCCTGAAGGGGCCCTGGGACACACAAATAAATAGACACAGACAACAAGATTCCCCCATATTTCCCCATATCTTCTGGGCCTTCGCCTTCCCCCCCACTTCCCATATGTTCCCCTGCTTCCCGGGGAGTCGACAGTTCATTGTGTGTCTGTGTGCGTTCCGTTCCCTCCCGAGTAACCGCAGCGTGCCGGCCCCTCCCGGGGGGAGAGGCCCCTCCCGGACAGAGCCGCGCGCGCGGGCCTCAGCCGGCCCCCTCCCTCCGCGCTGGCCCGCGGGGTGCGGCGCCGCGAGCCGCGGGCGAGGCGTGCGAGGTCGAGAGGAGGTCGGGCCCGCCCTGGGCGGCCCCCAGATGCCTCCAGCTCGGTCGTCCTCCTCCTCCTCCTCCTCCTCCTCCTCCTCCTCCTCCTCCTCCTCCTCCTCCCTGCTCCTCCTCCCTGCTCCTCCTCCCTGCTCCTCCCTCCTCCCTCCTCCCTCCTCCTCCTCCTCCTCCTCCTCCTCCTCCTCCTCCTCCTCCTCCTCCTCCCTCCTCCTCCTCCTCCTCCTCCTCCTCTCTCCTCCTCCTCCTCCTCCTCCCTGCTCCTCCTCCCTGCTCCTCCTCCCTGCTCCTCCTCCTCCTCCTCCTGCTCCTCCTCCTCCTCCTCCTCTCCTCCTCCTCCTCCTCCTCCTCCTCCTCCTCCTCCTCTCCTCCTCCTCCTCCTCCTCCCTGCTCCTCCTCCCTCTCCTCCTCCCTGCTCCTCTCCTGCTCCTCCTCCCTCTCCTCCTCCCTGCTCCTCCTCCTCCTCCTCCTCCTCCTCCTCCCTCCTCCTCCTTCCTCCTCCTCCTCCCTCCTCCTCCTCCTCCTCCTCCTGCTCCTGCTCCTGCTCCTCCTCCTCCCTGCTCCTTCTCCTCCTCCTCCTCGCTCGCTCGCTCGCTCCATGGGGCTTAAAAGTTTGAGCTCGTGCCAGAAGATGAAAAGGTGAAAGTCACGCACTGAATTCCGAATTCATGCAAAAGGAGGGGGGTCAGGGCGACCCCGACGTGGGGGCAGCCAGCGAGCCCCCTTCAGAGTGCCCGACTGCCACTCCAGGAAAAGGCGGTCCTGTCGGCGAGGGGGTCGGGCCAGGGGTCATTCCCGACACCATGCCCCAGGCGGCCTCCCCTCCCCAGCATGCGTCCAGATGCGCCTTCTGGACATTTGGGTCGTGGGTGACACAATTCCGTCCCCCCGTTGGACTCCTCCTGTCACCAGACACGGAACCTCATGCAGTGGCTGTGCACTTGAGGGGCACGCGCTCAGCTGAAAATCGGAAGCACTTTCAACCCGTATCGTGCAAGCTCCCGCCGCATTGCGGTCGGAAGCCCAGTCAGGGGCGGCCCCCTCCCCTTCTTCATTGCGCGCTGCCCCTTCCTCGCACCCCCGCATGTTAGGTGTGATCGCGGCGCTGCGCAGTCGCATGCTGGCTGCACTGCATAGACTAGCAACAATTCCCACAATGTCCCCGAGCGGCCTTGAGCTCGCCGACGGCGCCGTGTCCCCACCCGCTCTTTCACGAAAGCAAGAGAGGCGCAAACGGCGGTTGAGACAACGCAGCGGATCAGCATGAGAGAACTGCCCAGGACCCGTGGGGGGGGAGAGGGCACGCCAGAAGGCCAAGCCCCCCAGAGGGCCACCGAGGGGGCAACGCCAGGATCCACAGGCGGGCACGTGTCCAGCAGGGTCCTACGACATCCAGGGAGCCTCGGGAGGGCCGCAACTTCGGGGGGCATTCCAGCGACAGGGGCAGCAGGGTCAACCGATGGAGACACGGGGAGGACCCAACAAGCAGGGACATCCCGGACCACGCATCGCACCCGCAGTTCAGTGCACGAACGCAGCCAAATATTCTCTCTCGCCATCCACCCCCTCACATAGTCACCGGTCCGAATACACCCCCATGGGGGCACGGTGGTTCTAACAGGGGTGAGGCCCTCGGGGAGCGCATCCATGGGGTGCGAGGCTGGCGCAAAGCTCGTAAAAGTGCACTCAATATACAGGCTCGCAACCTTCCCCTGCTCAATGAGTTTGCCTACCGTAGCAAGCGTGTAAAGGGAGAGTAGGCCCGCGGAGTCGGTTGTCGCGCACTCAAGAACAATGGGCCGCACACGGTCTTCTCGCCATAATGGCTGCTCCGCAAGCACTCGCATGGCATTCTTGATGTGACTCCCTCTGTAAACCACAGACACAGCGCGCGAGCATGGCAGAGGGGGGGCGGGAGCCATGGCTGGCCCAGTCTGCACAGGAGTGTCCAGAGGCGCAACAACGGCGGCAGGCAGAGCTATCTTTGGCTGCTTAGGGATGCGGACCAAGGGGCGGGAAGCAGGCCCCGCATTCTTCACCGCGGGAACATTGGCAAAACATTCCGACAGGCCCTTGGATCGGTTCACACGTTTTACTTCACGCCTCTCCGCCAGGCATTCCGCCAGCTCCTCCTCAGAAGGTGGCAGCGGGGAATTAAGCCAACACATTCGGCAGCTGGCAGCACTCTGAATGTGCTTCAACAATCTCGCAGTATCCCAAAACTGGGTGACACAAAACGGACGCACCGTTCCCGTCACAAACGCAGTCGGGCTGGCTTCAGTCTTATGTGTTTTCCCGATGTGGATTCTTATTACTTGCTCCTGCTTAGACGTGAAACCACATATAACAGACGTACTGGGAGTCCGCCGCAACCTGTGGTTGGGTTCCAGTTGCCTCCTCGGGGTTGAGAGCAACAAGGGAAAGGGGAGCAAGTGGGGTTCCCCTGACTCTTTCCATTGGCAGCGGCATGGCGATGGCGCTGGTCAGACTTGAACCGTTGGCCATACGCTTGCTGGCCTCGGTGAGTCTACCCCCCCCCCCCCCCCCCACCACCCACCCCCCACACCCACCACACACACGCACACGCACACACGCACGCACACACGCACATTTCACACCCAAATTCTCCCTGCCGCTGATACCTAACCCGAGCGCCCGCAATCCCCACAAGCCTCGCAAAGCGTCGGGGGCCGTTCCGAACCATATTCAGCCAAAAGGGCACCCAGTCGCCAGGCGGCGGGTGCGACGGGGGGGCGATTTTGAGGAGCCACGCAAGGCCCTGGCCAATAAGTTGGGGCCAATGGCCAGGGACTCCCCGAACCGTATCGAGCAGCATGCGCACCATCGGGGGGGGGGGGGGGGGGCTCGCACCAAGAACCGAGCCAGGAAACGAAGGCGCACGATAGAGAGCACGCTTGGACGGGCAGACGACTGACGGCGGCCAAAATCTTGCGAGAGGCAACCTGCTCATCCTTATTGTTGCGCTTCCCTAGGTTCATGGCCGTTTTGTAAATAGCTGTATGATGCTGCGCAATCAATCTCTCAATCTATACAGGCACAGCATCCCAAGTAGAGCTGCAATAGAACATACGCGACGCAGCAAGCGACTCACAATACATGACCTTCTTGGCCAGGGGTACGAGGGGGGAGGGGGCGATCAGTTTCTTGATGGGCTTGAGGGCCCCCGCCATCCCCGCAGCACGGTGCGCCACCTCGGCTCCGAGTCCCCCCGTATCCATGCACATGGTCCCTAACACTCGGTGGCGCCGAACAATTTCCAAATCCTGTCACCAGGCTTCCGAACGGAGGGTGGGTCGACTTTGCGTGGCCAACCTTCTTCTAGCTGCTTTTTGTCCCGCCCCGCGGAACGCCGACAAAATCTTGGCCTTGGTGGGGTTGACCATCAGACCCCGCTCCTGGACAAGCCCACGCAGGATGTCATACGCCCGAATGGCTTTTCCAAGGAGCTCCTGCGCACTGCCAGCTAGCAAAACTGTCAGGTCGTCAATAAAGGACACGCCACTAGTGGGTTTATCCCAATCTTCAGCTACCGAGAAGTGCATGGTTGGTTGGGTCGGGGTCCACACGAGGTCTTCCTGTATCAAGGCCGCCTGTAGA